ATAGTATTAATTTCTTAAGATATTATGTGAACCAAAACAAGGAAGTCAATGGGAAATTTTGACAATTAAAAGCAAACCCAATGTGGAAAAATTCCCTTCTCATTTCATATTTTAAGTGTTGTTTTTCTCTTAAAGGAACTTTCTTTTTCGAAGGTTAGAGGCTTGAAAATGAAAGCCTGGCTGAAGAAGATGTGAGCTCACCTATCTTCTGTTATAAAGGGTCCTACTCTTTGTGTGGTTCCTTAATTGTACAAAGTACTTTCTTTTCTCCCAATTTGTCCCAAAGTAATGTATTTACATCCCATTTTCCACCATCTTTTTCTCCTTAATTTCCTCCACATTCTCTCTAATAAGTGAAGATTCAACTTGGAATCTAGACAGCTACTCACTACCCAAAATTTGGATCAGTTTTACCATAATAATCCAATATATCATATAGTTAGGTTATGTCAATGCCTGGATCGATTTTCATCAACTTAACGCGTTTGTTGATTTTCGTGCAAAGTTTTAATTTTTCGTGTGAACATTTTAAATATGCATAATTACAAGATATCTAATCAATCTCTTTTGATTGAGTAAATATATAAATTATGAAAATCATTCAAAAAACAATAAAGATAAAACTTAATGAAATCAAATAAACAGTAAAACATAAAAATTTACATAATTCAATCTCTTTCCTATAGAGACTAAGATATATAGGATACCTCCAAATTATGAAAGCAAAAGGGGGGAAAAAGGGAAACAATTTGACGCAATGCTGCCTTTGACAGCAGCAAATCTTAACCTAAACTTTAGGGGGATTGAAGAGAACTGGATAAGAATGTCTCTCTCTTTATATATTTTATATCATCATAACACCCTCGATTACCATTGACAACAAGTCGGCTGAGACATGCCTTAAAACCAGACCATGCGAACCGACATCTTAATTTGAGGATCAAAGCCATGGTGGTTAGCAAGGAGGAGGGACACAACCTACGGTGCCATATTCGCCGGCATCGATCAATATCCCTTATAGTTTAATCTTCACTCATATATCAAATCATGACAAACGTATCATCAATTAATTTTATTTATAAATTTTAATGAAAAAAAATAATATATATGAATTGAGGGTGAAAGGGGAGGAATCCAATCATGCAATGCACGTTCATTTAAGATTTAATAGATTATTTTTTTTTTGGTTGTGGGTTTGTTTTATTACAAAGATTCTTAGGTGTAAGAAAGGCTTGATCTCCCTAAGACATATCCTTTGCCAAACTAGATAGATTTTTTATGTCTTCAGATTGAGGTAATAAGACATTCTTTGTCCTGGATTTTTCGTAGTGAAATGGACCCACAATTTCTTATCTTTTTGGACCCTTGTAAATAATTTTTTGGATTTTACACAACAATTATGATATGATCTTTCAATTAAGCATTTTTCGTAATTTAATTACTATATCAAACGAAACAAATAGAACAATCAAAAACAGATATTATTAATAACGTTTTTCCATTTTTAACAATATGCATGCAATTATATGTTTGGGTTTTTAAATGTGTTAAGTTGAATATATATATATATATATATATATATATTTTAAGTAAAATGATCATATTAAATAGGTTAATTTTTTTTTAAATTTAATGCAGTAAAAGCGGTGGAAAGAAGATTGCTAGATGCAATGATGATATTTTCCTCATATCTTTAAAGGACTTATATCAAATGATTTTACCTTAGGAAACAAGGGACCCCTTTTTTGTTATTTTTGGACTCTATAGACTAAAATTAATCTTTTAATCCTAAAAAACATTCATGCTTTAACCAATTAACTACCCCAAAATCACATGTTTTGCCTCTTTGTAGGGTCATGGGAGAGACAAGAAGCATAAAATCACTCACAATCTAGCCAAAATCTTTGAGAAATCAAAGTGTTACAAAAATCTTATTATCAATTCATGATGCAAATTCTTTTGGAAATAATAATAATAATATAGAAATGAAATTCATGATCAGCAAAGCATGCGCCCCCTCGTGTAGGGTATAAAAAAAGCCAAAATACATTATTTTCTTTTCTTCTTGAAATAAAGGAATCCAATGAATAATGAGTGTTCTCCCACTTATTTGAGCAAAAAATAATGAGCCAAATATATATATATATATA